GTCGTGCCTGCGCGCGCACATATACGTCTGCTGCTTTTTTTCGCAGCCCTTGTCTCTTACTTCTCTTTTTTCTGACTTGCTACAGCCGACTGTAAAAATTTCAACAATGGAGATTACTAATGTATTGTCTCTAATCCTAAATCGCGTGATTTCATCAATTGGCCATTTAGGTACGTGGCAGTCGCACCACAATCGCGATCGTTTATTTATTCATGCGACAGTAATCGAATTTGTTATTGCCCTATCGAGCAGAGGATAGACGATTCGAAGTGCTGCGGCTGCCGCTACTGTCACGTGGACGTACACGCGGAGACGGCGAAAGAGAGAGAGAGAGAGAGAGAGAGAGAGAGAGAGAGAGAGAGAGAGAGAGAGAGAGCCGACGATTATTCTTATCGCATCACTGCTCCGATCTCGATACACGATATGTTTTTTTACGAAAGCCTATAAATGAATTCGGGAAATCGCGCAGCGGCGATTTTTGTCAAAATAGCACTTCACCGCGAGGCCCAGCGCAATCAAAATGTAAATGCATAGGCAAATAATGCAGCTTGCAAAAGCACGCGGCCGCCTCTACGCCAGTCGACTTGAATTATTTCGCGGCCGGCAATCGATTATATGAAGTAATTACTGTGCTCTATTCATGGTTGAATATACTTTTATTGGCATTTGTTCACCGCTCTCGTGGAGTCTTCGTAAAAATATAGCACTTTCTAATCGGCGCCGCGAGGATTGTCCGCATGGCTCTGCACACATTCGCACGGCAGACAAAATTATTGATTGCCACAGACGGTGCAATCTTACGTTTTTACGTATTGCATTTGAATTTACCACTGGGATAGAGGCTAGGTTTGCGTTTCAAGCTCTATAAGTGTATTATTATGTAGCGCGGCACATCGGTTTTTATAAATCCTTTATAATTTATATATTGGTCAAAACGACTCGAGTCGGATATTATTGTATATACCAAAGCAGTTACACAACGGAACGTTTTGAACGTCGGTACAGCCTATATAAATTATAAACTACAAAGTTTCATCAGCCAATTTCGAATACTTATAGTAGATGCAATCAACTCTGAAATGTCGTGTGCGGTTTTGAATTATTTTTAGCTGACAACCGTGACCAATACGCCGACTGTAAACGTTTTATCAACGTTTGCGGTTACGTATACTTCAGCAATAAAATTTTTAAAATGTGCGTAGTTTTCCTACCAACTTTAAACACCGTTTATACTCTAAAACTCATTTTACATAAGGACACGTCGGACATTAGCCATCGATCGCGTGTACGATGGTGAAAAAAGATAGTCAGTCAATGTTATATTTTTGTACTAATAATGTTAATATACTAGATCTATATTTTTTGTCATTGCTCGCATCCTGCGCAATCACGGATGCAACAGCTGTCAAGCGAATAATATTAGTTTTTTACCATAATCTCGGTACACGGCCGATATTTCCTTATGTAGAAAGCCCCTAATTAATAAAGGATTAGTTATAATCAAGCCGATGTCGTTCATTATTCAAATAATTTGCAATTGAAAATTTTATTTGAATTCAGTAAAGTCAATTTTTAGTTTCAACAATGTTTATACATCTACTTAATATGTAATGAAATAAATAACTTGAATTGAATACTAAAATTAGTTTCTAAGTCAAAATAATTTCGTCATCTCTTTTTAATCCATTCATTTATTGTAGAGTGTATGTAACAATTATTTGAAACATTATATTTGGATATTAAATATTGAGATTGATTATATTATAAAATATAATATAAATATAATAAATATATATTATAAACATAATTAAAAAAATAATTATACTTACAAATACTATGTTACTATATCAATAACTGTTATTGTACGATATTAATCGTATATTGCGCCATTCAAATGAAATGCTTCTTCTTGTGATTTTTGTATTAAATTGCTGTGAAATGAAATGAAATGTATAACTGCGTATGCGCACAACGCAAGTACGTACTGCGCAAGTGCGCATTCTAAATGTGTGATCATTATAACCTGACAAAAACACTGGAGAATCATTTTATGAAGTATGCAATGGATTAGCCGATAGCCAATTTTGCTATGATTAATTATTTGCTATAAGTAAGAACGAGTATTAATTAATATAGATATCATGTTGGGTTTTTGGAAATCATCAGCAAGTACTGTTTGTACAGTCGTAAAATCATTATTGAATAATAGTCTTAGTCCATTTAATCAACAAACACGAGTAAGAACCACTATACTTTCATTTAAAATTTAACAATTAGAGATTATTTACCAACTGATAAAAATAATCCTTTACAGACAACAGTTATCCTGAAAAGAAAGTTCCCAGTGTTGCTGCATAAAAAAGGAAAGCAACCACACAAGATGAAAAACAGACAATTTATTTATGAGGTTGTTGATAATACATCTCTGCACAGCCCAAAACCAATAGATATTATTTTAACTGAGTATGTAGAAGGATATGGCGAGAAAGGAGATAAATTAAGTCTAAAACCCAACAAGGCTTATAATGAATTTCTCTTACCTGGATTAGCAATTTATGCGTCTCCAGAAAATATTGAGAAATACTTAGTGACTAAAAAAACAACACAAAGTTATAGCAGTCTTCAAGCTCCACTAACGATTAAAGCATTAGAGAAGTGTTGTGTATTTGTTACTATGTCGATTGAAAATCCTTGGGTTATAGAGAAGTGGCACATTAAAACCAGTATGATGCATTCGGGATTTGAAGCAACCAATGAGTCTATCACGTTGCCTGAAAAAGAAATTAGTGGTCCTAATCTGGATTATGAAGGCAAAGAATTTTATGTAACTGTTACAATAAACAAGACAGAGCAGGTTAAAGTGCGCTGTAGATTACGTCATGTCTCGTTGGATGTTTCTAAGCAATTAGAGAAAGCACCAGATTGGTGGAAAATTCCAGCTAAAGCTATTTTCCCAGAAGATCAAGAAGTTCTTGATTCAATTCCAAGACCACAATTTGAGCAATCTGTTAAGAAAAGTTAATTCAATGAAAGTTTTTTAAATTGTTTAGATAATAAAAGACAAATAAATGTTATTTAAATTACAGAAAAAATTAATTGTTTACTTTTTGCATGCTCCAATGACCTATATTTTAAAAAGTCTAATAAACTTCAATCATGGCACACAACTGATCCACACTAGTACTCCCTGGTACAATCAATAATCTAATTCAGTTCTAACTTCAGGTTACAAGCATCAACTGCTATCAGCACAATGTTATTTAAAATTTATTCAGCATTTAAAAATCAGTGTTCGTTGGTAATTTTTTAATTGATACATTACTTAGAGGAAACAAACATTGAGATATGGACGAAAGGCACTTTATATGGGACGAAGTATACGAAGGGATTGTATCATCAGGGTAAGGCTCATGGTAAACTAACTTTGAAAAGTATAATACTTCATATTGCGCTGTTAATCGTTAGACCAACAGAGGCGGAAAGTAAAAAAAAGAAAGTTAAAAAAAGAAAGTCCGAGAAGATTGAAACGAAGGTTTACTGTCCACACAAAGGTCTAATTTTTGCATTCAAGGAATCACTGAGCTTCGCAGAACAGGTTGGTTATAAAAAATCCCGTTGCAACGAACATTGAACTAAAAAGCAAGTCTGTTAGTCAAAGTTCCGCAAGCTCTACCAGCGCAAGCACGCCTCTGAGATGGATGTGGTGTTGCTCCAAGACGTCAAAGATTTGGCTTTATACTCCATCGCCTCGCCGATGAGCCTGGAGTTCATTGGATTCGCGCATTTGGCAGTGGTGGACCGCTTTCTGCGAGCGCTTATCTTGTACTTACAGCACTATTTGGTCACCTGGACGGAGTTGGGTGCGAAACGTGCAGCGACAGCCAAACGCGCGGCTAATCCTTTGGCTGGAGGCGCAAGAGTCGAACGGGCCAACGAGATGAAAGCTCTACGATGTCTTCTCGCCAGAGCGTATTACGATCTGTTAATGGGTTGCGTCAGCCAGCTCAAAAAGTACCATCACATGGCTGCGGGAAGTATGTCGTTTGTCCAGAGCAAGGGGGAGAAAGATCTCAGGTTGTTCGAGGGTCTTATACAGTTGGCTCATAGGGTTGCCTGGATCGCACTGGAGCGTCAACACAAGGAACTTATAGGTATGCTTACTGCACAAACAATTGTTGCTCGACCGATCGTTTTTTAAAGTGACATTCACACCCCAGAGTTAGAGATACATCGACTCTTTAGAACGGATCCGTTCAATACAGCTAAAAGGAAATATGCCGACAGTGGCATTGATTTGGAAGTGCCAGAAGACGAACATTGGATCCTTTACGGACCTAAAATGCCTCCTTGCGTGAAGATCCTTCAAAATTCTCCTCTGATTTATGAGATTTTGCGTACTAGATGTGATCACCGCATCCTACTTCTGGGTAATTCGTTCTATGATTTATTAATGAAGTCAGATGTTCAAATTTGTCTATTTTATTTCGCTATTGTCGACATCAACAGTGCATTTTTGTTTGACGTATTTACATGTAACAACTGCAGTCTCCAAATCAAAAATGAACTTTACGAGAAATATATACGTATTGAACTAAAAGTAAAATACAAGTAGCACGCAATAAATATTATACACTTCGTTGTATTTATCGGCAGCTTTTATATCTTAAATCGAATAATTAATTAATCAAGACCGTCCAAAAAATTATTATTCTACTATTCACGATAAGATTATTCGCTCAGCAATTGATATACCGATACATTTATCAAAGTTCCATTACATAACAATTGTTTCATCCTATATAACGACTTTTTTTACTTGTTTAAAGGTTTAACAAATGCAAAATCTAGCGATCCTCGTATAATATACCTTGAAAATGCATTCCTTGCAAAAGAAGAGGATTTGCCTAGACTAGGAATCAAAGTCGGGATTTTAGGTTTGCCTCGGACGGACTTTGACGTGATCTTAATACCCCGTGCGAGTGAGGATGATCAAGTGATCGTTGATGATGCGGATACCGAAAAAATTGAAGTAAGTCAGTGCGTCATAAGAAAATAATTAACGCTGTGATTTAATGCACTACATAATTTGATACTTTTAGACGATTCTTAGCTTGAGAAATAATTTATATAACTAAACCATATTGTTACACGTCTTTAAATAGTGACAACCTGTAACAGGTGTCTAGCTTGATTACCCAATCGGTCTAGTCTAAAATGAAAGATGCTGATCACTTTGGTCGTTATGAAAGAATGCGATGACAAACAACTTTTTTATGCAGGGAGCTGATGATTATGAAACATTGATACCTCCATACGGCAGTGATTTAGAGCTAGACAAACCGTTCCCTGTGAACAAATCAAGTCAATACGTGAACGGTCATCAAATTTGCGCTAAAAGCAGAAAAAAGTGGATGGTACGAGAAATGAGTCGTGCTGCTATGAACTACGTGGAAACCTACTCAATGGCCACTACACCGACTGATCGCTAAAAGCTTTATAATGTCAGTACTCTGTACTTGACTATGTTGAAATGATGTATGGGATACAAACGCTCGAAACAAATTAAAAATATTTGATTTTCTTTATATATACTAGTATATTTCTTTTTCCATAAACTGTAAAAAGTCCATTTGTATCGCGATTACGTGTTCGTTTGTGTTTATATTGTGATAAAAACTTCTCGATTCTTAATCATGGTTATTTTCTTTTCGATTATTAATAACAGTGAAAAAACCTAAAAAATCATAAATGAAAAAATCTTACCAATGCATAAAGTTACGCAATTGATTACTATATTAAGAAATAATTTAAATAAATAAAAAAGAAAATACTGACGTAACGATGGAACTGATTGTAACTATCATTTTTCAATTATTTCTCATTCATAAAAAATATATGAACGACGAGCGTTTTCACGTAAGGGTCTAATACAAAAGTAAGCGCTTAGAGAAGTGATATAAAAAAAATCATAAAATGTAATCGATACGGTCTATCGAACTAAGTAATGATGAATATATGTTACAAGGGCATTCATTGCAAGGTATATTTCTTTTTTTGTTTTTGACTGGCAGAAAATAAAATGGTTACTTATTCCATTGCTATATCTAATGATGTATCGCTTGACTAAATTACTTTGCTGTTTTTTTACGTGGAAATTACAATGAGCTAGCGTTGTAGAAATGAAGATTCCGCGCAATTCAATTATCCCCAATGTGGGGAACATTTATGAATCTTGTTTGTTAAAGTTACTTCGAAACTTCGTTGCCGTATCGCTTGCGCAGTGAGTTTCGACAAAACCTAAATAAGAATGTACACATACCTTGGTCAGTCTCAGTGTTTTTTATCTTTTATCTACAGACCTTGCAAATGTCAAGAGCCAGACCGTATTTATTGAATTAGAATTTATCTTATACATAAAGACTACTTATCTATAAAGTAATTACATAAAATTCAATGTGCAGACCAAGCAAAGTATGTTTATATTTAATGCACTCTCATTGATGAACATAATAAACTTGCATAAAAGATGAATTTCACAATGTCGTTTAACGTTATTTGAAAAAAAAAATTAAAAAATAAAACAATACTCGTACGAAATTCCCGAAAAAAAAGGTTTTCTAATAAAATTCATTATCAATAATTTTTTGAAAAATCGTAGTATTTTTATTAGAACAAAAAAGTGAAGGTACTTTTTTATGTATTTTTCCGCAATTACCACTTTGAAAGTTATCTACTGGACAAAGTGCGATCTAGTAGGTCTACCACTTAACACTTGTACAAGTGCCTGTATAGAATATAAATAGAAAAACAAAAGGATCGACTGCAATATTAGAATTATGCAATATTTTACACGCAATTATACACACAACATTACAAGTTGATAAATTATTAGTTCTGAATGATGTGATTTCCAATTTTGAGTACGATATAAACAATTTACTCACTATTTGTTCTAACGAGAATATACAAGTGAAAACTATACAAGTTACATTTCAAACTATTATTGAATCATTCACTCAGATCCTTTTGTTTTATGAAGTCGTAAAGTTTTCGTCTATGAATCAATTTAATGTTATTCAACATTAAAATACGTGCTCGATTATTTCTATTTGTTTTGTTTTGTCACAGATCTAATACCTGTTTGGAATAAGCACATATGAACGATTAATTCATCATTTGAAGGATCTGTATACGCTTGGCAACCGGCTAGTGACTTGCACTGTGCCTACATTATAATATTTTTCCTTTTCATTCTTTTTTGTTTTTAAAAATGCATTCATGTTTTTTAAGATTTGAAAATCGTCCATACTATTTTGCAATATAAAACGTACTTTTTATGCACTCTATTGGTTTTGTTTCTTATCTACTGTATCTATAGACAAAAAATATGTCAGAACGAAAATCATTTCGCTCACACTATGTATCATTTACCAATTTTCGAAGCTACTACTGTTTTAAACTACTAAAATTCGTCTTTCGAAAATGCTCGACTGATCGTTCCTATGGATTATAATTACAATCTACTATTGTTATCTTTGTCTCAACGGAGTTACTTTTTTTGTTTAAAAGAGTACGTGATACTGTATATACCAGCAAATAACGCTTATTTCTTGTAGTTTTGAACTTTTGTTCATTTTTTTCAGTTTTGTTATAGAAATCGAATTTACCGAAGTCAGTAGTCCGATAAACGACTCATCACGTATTAAAGGTATACATGTATATGTATCTCGACTCGAGATATGAATAGCAAATTAAAGATAAACCCGCTTTGGCTATGCGACGACAATTAATAGTAGTGTGTAATACGCAACAACGTTACATTGGTGTGAGTAATTGTGTAACTCATAATATCCTTTTCCGGTAAAAGAGCTTAACACTAATTTAGACACACGAAATTGCGGTTATCTCTAGGAGACGACAACTCGAGAGAAGAATACCGCGACAACTCGCTTGAATTAATGAGGTGAGGGAGGCTGCGTCGGTGAGGGCTACGACGCAATGTCCGACATGAGCTGAGCCAGTAAAGCTGGCTCCAGAAGCCCATGTGTCTGTCCCAAGCGCTCGAGGTTTCTCACGTCCTTGTCAAAAGCTTCGACTGCTCGTTCCAACTCCTCCTCTTCCTCGCGCGTCGGCTCGTAATCGCCGTTTCTTCCTTCTAAAAATTGAACAAAACATAACAAATGCCACACGTTACCTTCCTCTGCCACTTGGACATTGAAGTTTTGAGGGATATTTCGAGATATTTCTGTACAATATGAAAACAAACTAAATAAAGAAAAGTTAATGCTTCAATAATCCTCAAAACAACAATGCAAAGGTAAAGTGATGCGGTGTATTTACCAATGAATAAGTCATTGAAAGCATCGGCTGGCAAATTGTTGAGTACGTTCTCAAAGTCGTGTTCCGTCGCGTGATCAAGCGATGCAAAGACTTCATGATCGTCAAGCTCAACTTTGAGTCCGGATAGCCCTAGCGAGCTAATGTCCAAGCCTAGGCTATTAAGATTTGGTACCGCATTGGGCTGCGGTAACGCGTTCAAGTTATTCAGCGTCTTGGTATGCATCATGTCGTTGTTACAAGTCATAAGGGAGTTAGCGAAGTGATGAATGTCGTCGGGTAATAATGCAGGCGGCAATTGCTGGGCTGGCATAGCGGCCGCAGGATCCATGGGTATCTGAGGCATAACGGGCGCGTGCACAGGAGCGATAACGGGCTGTTGATGCTGCTGCTTGCTCGCCTCGGGTTTGTTCCTCGATGGTGGCCTCTTGCGTTTCTTCGGCTTGCTGGATTTGGATTTGCTGGGCCGTGCGGCCGAAACCGAGGTTATCGAGTTGGCGCCGACGAGATTGGCGTTGTTGCCACTGACTGACGGTGAGCTTGGTTTTTTGCTACGCGCCTTCTTCGGCTTGGACTCTTGGGCTCGGCGATGGTAGTTATCGCGTTTCCTCGCGTGCTCGGGGCACAGAGGCAGCTCGTGCGCCACGTCGAACACCGGCACACAGCACTGTGTATTATCGCTGAACTTAGCCGTGCAGTGCTCGAACAACAGCTGGTCGGGGTTCATCATTATATGTCGCGAGCAATGTCGCGTGCAGGGTAGCGATAGCTGCTGACAACCCTCGGCGCCACAGGCACCACCAACTATCAGTGGCCCGTCGACTATCTTCGAGCTGGCATTCGCGTCGTTGAGTATCCGTGCTGCGGCACTCGGATCTTGGTGAGCAGCTTTTAGCAAGCAGCGAGTCTTCTCTCTCAACGCGTTTTTCACGTCGTCATCGGCGTGCTGCAATTGCTGGAGCTGTCGTTGAAGCTGTGAGTGCAGCTGAGCTAGTCGACTCGATCTGGCCGACGTTGGATCCGATTCTCCGGAATACCAGTGACGTTGATACGTCTGCAGCTCATCCGCGCTAGATTCACTATCGGATATCTCATCACCGGCTCTAGGGTAGTACTGTAAAGTATGGTCCCTGCTCTTGCGCTTTGCTTTTAATCGTTGCAACTTTTTGATGTACCTTTGCTTCTGTTGTGCGGGATATGCTGATGGCTGATGAAAAGACTTAAAAGTGTTATTGGCAGCAGCAGCAGCAAAGCCTAGGCTAGGTTCTGCTTTCATTCCGATTATTGGCATTGGCTCTGCTTTGATTTTTGTCTTTAAACACTTTCCTTTAGATCTATTTTTGTTGCTACTGGGTGTTTTTGAATTTTTGGGAGCTATTAGTTTGATGTTCTTACCACCTGTTGACACAAGTGGCTGCTGCTGTTGCTGTTGCTGCTGTTCTGTTTCATTAAATACATATGGATCTATGCCCTTTTGGATCTCCGAATTTAGTAACACTTTAAAGCGATCCGCAAATTTTAATTTATTGTCCATATTGGATTGTTTGGAATTTAGGATCTTCATTGGTTAATACTTTTTTTATTCCTTGTATAAACTGCATACTAGAACTCTACAGATCCTTCGTTAATCAGATGGACTAGATTCAATGTCAATGTTATGAGTAACTGCCTGCATGATGAATAAATCTTTTAGATGCTGGATTACTTTAACGTTTATCTGTTAAAAAAGTAAACATTCTATATCAAGATAATGTAATTACAATTTTCTGTGTTACCAAAAAATTTACCTAATTTACTTACTTATTTAATATCCAAGTTTTATACACAATGGATTTTACAATGTCTAGTTGAAGATCTCTTCATATAAGCGTCGAGGCCAACATTATACGAAAAATCATCATGCTCTATTGAGGTAATTACAAAAACAGACTTTCATTTTTATATTGCTCAACCGTTTTTTCATATATTTTGTATTTTTGAGAGTTAAATCTAACAACCTATTCGCAAGGTTGCATTTGTAGCATCACTGTGTTCACCAACTAAAACAGAGCAGAACTTTCACAAATAGTAAGGGTCTTGTGCAATACTAGTATCTTAATTGTAATCTAGTATTATTCGTTTAAAACAATGACTGACAAGCGAAAAAACAATGAAAACAGGTCAGTCTTTCTTGTTTTTTGATAAATTTCGGGGTTATGTCTTCCTTGTTTTTTCAAAACCACGTTGATATCAAGCCACTCGATAGCGATGTAACTTGCTGTCCAGAATACCCTGGAAGTATTTGTAGAAACTTGCTGATAATCTAGTTGAACGATGTCAAAACGATGCGACTAAGGCCGGGTTAGAAAATTTTTTACGACACTCACGCAAAAGATAGAGAGAGAGAGAGAGAGAGAGAGAGAGTGAACGAAATCCTCTGTCGGTCAGCCTCGTCAATTCTTCCGTCTCTCTCTTTCTCGAGCAACTCGCTCTCGTGTGTATTTATCTTGCTAAGCTTGTGTAAGTGTAAATTGCATTCGCAATGAACACAAGGTGCGCGTATATGTGTTTGCACATCCAATAACGTAGGAAGCTTTATATTATTCTTGATCAGCAACTTTCCCTCCCTCCCTCCCTCTCTCTCACTCTCTCTCTCTCTCTTTTTCTCTCTTGTATGTCTGGTTTGTCTCGCGTAGGCGAAGTTGGTTTTTTCGCTTTGATATTCACTCCTGCAAACGTTTCCACTGACTTCGTCAATGAACACTAGTCATCGAGGCGATCCTTGTGATGCTGCACGACGATGTCCTCACTCGGGGTCGCACACACAACATTCAACATTCAACGTCAATAATAACATTAAAGGAGGCGCGCACAATTCTATGTTATAACCTATACTATATAGCGTACGCTATAGAAGTATAGAATACACGTATCAGTGCCTACCTATGTGGGTGTTTAGTCGATGTATGTTTGGCTGAGAGTTGCGAGAGCGTGTGATCTTGATTCTTGCCTTGCGCGCCAAAACAGTATTTTACGTGTCAGTTTAATTTATTGAACGTTTCTGTTTATTCAACGTTATTTTGCGCAATTTATCATTTTATACACGTCGATGCTTCGTCAGATGTTTTTAAACATCGATACATACAGTATAACATTGTTATTCCTTTTCTTATTTTAACAATTAAAACTTTCCTATCTCAATAAATAAATAAAAAATTTTATTAGAAATTCACATAATAAAAACATTATAGAAAATTCCACATTATTTCAATACTCGCGGACACTTTTGATTATCGTAAGTATTCCATTATCATTTTATCTCTCACTTGATAACAAATGTTTACGCATTAAATATTTCATTATTCAACACATTATTATTCAATATTGTAACATTCAGTGATAACATAATTTCAAACATACGCTTTGTAATTAGTATTATACATCTTTATAGTATACTAAGGTAAAATACTTTAAATACTACTCATTTTTTAAATTATTATTATAAAGCAGTTGAAAATATTAAGTTTTTGAATAATTCAATTGCAATACTTTAAAAATCCATTTATGTATCATAGTGTTATTATCAACTGATATTGAATAAAAAACCTCATACCATATAATTTCATATGGACCTACTATAATGGCTCACGAGATGGCACCAGTTACACTTCAAACCGTATAAAACATAAAAATCATATACGTAAAAAGTTCGTACCGAGTACCGATAAAAAACATCAAATCATATATAAATTTTAAGTTAATAGCATTCTTTTAAAAAATTACGGTTTTACAATTTTAGAAACAAGAATAGAATGATTTTAAAAAGCAACTTAATTATTGCTTAGTTATGCAATTTATAAGGCAGAATAAATAAATAAAACCAAAGTTCAAATATTTGGGAACGTCTATTTTATTGTCTTCCAGTTCTACATTTTATGACCAGTGTATAAATATTCATTTAGCAGATTTCATAGGTTTTTTTTTGAATAACGTACATAAATAATTTGTTATTTAGACTATTATATAATTGTATAATTTTTTTTTACTTTTTTTAATAGCTAGTGCACAAAAATTTATTCAATCAAAACACAAGTACAATAAGTAAGTTATAATTACATTGATTATAATTGAAATACATAGAATAAAACACGTACACACATAATATTTTAGGTAGGTAATTATAAAACACACGTAAGATTTAATACAAATGAGAAATCAATCGATGACAATAAATGTAAAACACATATACAAATATTTATTATAATTTAGATCGATTACAAAAATTAAAGTTGTAGTTGATCACACAAAAGATTTTTACTGTAAAATAAATAAGCACACAATTTTGTTGTAATATAATATGCTTATAAGTAAATGATGCTGTTGTATCCAAAATGAACAAAATGTAATTTCATTGTGCATGCAACCAAAGCATTTCGAAAGTGGCTCCCGTCACTCGCTAAGTATTCTATGTTATAAATTATGTTTGTTCTTATGTGACTAGATGGCCCATGGATTGAGATCAGTGATGCACTCTACTAGGCTGTCGAAACCAATATCAAAAGATAAAGTATTCAATAATCAGACATACTTTCTCGGAAATAAAAAAACTAATCGAAGTGACGAGCTTTTCGAGTTTTTATCCATGGGTGTTGTGACTAGAGGACACTCGTTTTTAATATATTTTCATATATTACTCTGACTTACATCTAAGACTAGTGAAAACTACCGCTTTGCAGACACTTCGTTGTAAAGAAAGGTTCTTAAATTATTATAGCCGGCTTAGTTGAAACTTAAACGTTAACTTAAAAACTAAAAATGACTAGAAAAATATGTTTAAAGTAAACTTACTGATAGTGGCTCAGCGAGTTGAGCGCTTTTAGCATAAGAAAGGTTGATTGTGAAACTATAATCGTATATTGTACTTGGGCAGGTCCGCTCGAAGTGTTTTACATCTCTACGCTATTACGTAACGATTGATTGAAGCACAGCCTTCCGAATATTATTACGTATATGTAATTTTATGTATACTCTAGAGAAAGACGGATGGCCTGATTTTTGTAAAACGAAATTAGACTTGATCGGCCTGTCATCGATTTTTTCAATGCAAAACATTTCCGTTCGAGCGATGTCGATTGATACGAACTGAAAATGCCTTGCACTTTACGTCGAAAGGCCTCTTTGGCTTACTTACTAATCTTCAGTTGGGATTTCTCTCTATGCGAAATACTTTAGCTGCCTTGGAGCATTTTTATTTTAATTTGGTGAGTCAGCAGTATGAAGTACAAATAATAGATATGAAACTAAATGCTTGACTTAAACTAGATTATTGTATTTCGTCTCACTAGGCACTTTGTGCATTTTTTGGCATTTGATCAAGATTCACCGAAATTAATTTGCTCAAGAATTTCGCATGAATAATAATCTTTGGCGCTGTAATTGTTTTTCGACTGACTAGATGATCATTACTTCGGTGAATCCGAATGAAAAGTAAGATTTACGTGATATTGTCATTACTGGCACATTTCCCGAGGATTAAGAACTAATAATTAATACTTAAACGTAAAGAGACTAGATGCTTTTCTACAGGCATGTATGCTAAATAAATCAATTTAATCCTGATAATACTGAGCAATCTCATTCAAGAGATAATCGAAAACTTAAACTACGTCATATTTGGTTCGATGTCTGTATGGCAGCATATTCACGGCAGTGTCAGCTAGTTTAATGAATTTGAAATAATATGAATAATAAAAATGAACGTGTATTTTTATATGTACACTATGCACAGAAAAATATACAAATCCTGACTTTTTTTGCTTTCTTTTTATTTATTTATTTTTTTCAATTAAGTATAATTTTGTAAGCTTTTGTAAAGCTTTTACCCCGTGTTATGATTCAGACTTTTGTTTCCGACAACATTTTCTATACTCAAATAAAAATAATTGCATATAGAGAGTGGCCTGCCTAAGCATTTAACTAAAAATACATCAATACTAAAGTTTACCGATCCAATAGTTTGACAAAATTTGATAGCTCCATCGGGTATGTTGAGAATTTGGTTTGACTAGAGATTGTTGTTTCTGTAGTACAGTGACTAGATTCAGTTTTTAACGCTACATAGATTTAAAGTATGACTAGAAATTCGATGCAATTGACTTTCTCACACTTGCTACACTTCTAGGAATGCTACCGTACGGTTTAATGGCTCAATCGCAAACCTACTGTTATAATTTTGAACTTATCGAAACTAATTAAATGTTATCTGACTAGAGAAAATCAGCGCTAGTTTTCTTAACGTTATTCCAATTTTTGATTGTTCCCCATGATTAAGTACAAACTAAATTAGAATTATCAATCGCACCTTTTTGAATTTGGACTCGAATGTGTAATTACAATGACTAGACGAAGACTAGATTTTTCGTTTTGATCGATGACTAAAATTTAAAGTTTGCCTCTTACTCCAACTCAAAATGACTAGTGATAAATAAATTCAAAGTAATGACTAGATTTCCATACAATGATATGCCTACATATTGTATCTTTGTATTTTTGTTTATCAACCGTATGTACGTATAATCGCGAGCTTACTACCTAATTTCACTAGTTGAATCCTTATGCGTATAATTACTCGCTGTATCGGTCAGCACTCGGCAATTAGTCAGTCGTGCGAATTAGTTTTCAAAAGGTCGAGCGAACCGCCAAATAGCAGTATAAACGTGTGACGCAGCAATTTACATTTGAAAATAATGAAATTTGAATTGATCTCGAGTATCACCTGTGCATGTATCACATGGAGCTCTAATCAGTTGCTATTCATGAAGATCTTGTTTAATGAACTTGGAGACGGCCCCGCTCGTAAATGTAATAGCTGTACACAGTTGAAATGTAGTTGAAATGACTAGGCGCCATTCCTGAATGACGTTACATCTTGGTTTTTTAAATGTAATCTAATGTATCGATCAGAGTCTCTGATTATAAGTAAGCACTCAGCTTACATATATTCCGAGAACAATCGATATATTTAGAGTGCCTGACATAATAGAAAAAGACGTACTTTTCGGATCCAATGAGAGTTGGTGTCCGAGCTAACGTGGAGGCGGCATTTGATCGACTAGACATCGGCGACACTCGTGGCTCGCTGCTGCGCTTTTGAAAACGAACCGGCCGACAGGTGGTCGAATGGACGAGAGCCGACAGCGCTGAGACAGCAAGTAGCGAACAGGTATTTGTACTCCATACTGCTTGGCGCGATGGAGCCTGCAGTGGGATGCGACAAAAAGCGGCGCAGGACGCGGTCGCCGTCACCTCGCCGGCAGACGTCCGTCGGCGCGGACGGCGGCCGGTGGCGAGCTGGCGGAGGGGCGCGCCTCCGGCCCGCGGGGGCCGCGATGTCCGGGCCCGGCCATGCCGCTGCTGGCGCCGTCGTGCGTGCACCCGCTGCTGCGCCTCTGAGCAGACTGACTACCGGCGGCGCAGCTCGGCGCGGGCGCGTGCCGGCGTCCCCCGCGCGACGCGCCCGGCGTCCCCGGGCCCCCTCCCCGGCCTGCGGGGCGCCCGTGGCCCCGCCTCGCCGTCGCCATTGGCCGAGCGAGCTTCGCCCCTGCCGGTCGCGCGTGCACGCCGGGGGGAGGCTGCAGCGCGCTCGAGATTCGCTCTGGCGAACGCCGAGATTCGGTGCACGCGCCGCCTGCCCACGCCGACGCCGCTGTTTTGACGGTTGCTTAATTAGACGGGCCGCCGGGACGCACCTCCGCGGCGCGCGCTGCGCTTTTGTCGAGAGCTGCCTGCTTTGTTGCGCGGCGCGCGCGACGCTCGATTAGCGCCTAACGGACTTTCCGTAACGGGGCCTTCCGCGAAACTCGGCGCGTCGCGATGATTTACCGCCGATGTGGAGGGGGCAGCGTGCCCTTTTTTTCCGCGCTGCCCCCCTCCCCCCTCGCCTACGCGATACCTCGCTCTTTTTGCCCATTAGGATTTTAGTACGCGCCGGGGGGAACCGTTTTATCGCCATTTCCCACGTGAATCCACAATTACTTTGCTCGCGAAACGGAAAAAAAAAAATAAAACAGTCTGCGAAAAGTACAAATTCTTCAAT